CGCAGCCCCCCCCGAAGGGGCTCTCTCCAATGGGGTCTACGTGCCCCCCAGCGCGGCCAACGGGGACGTGAAGCCGGTGGTCTCCACCACGCCGCTGGTGGACTTCCTGATGCAGCTGGAGGACTACACGCCCACGGTACGCGGGCGCGCCGGGGCAGGCCGCGGGCGGGCGCCGCGGGGAAGCGGGGCTGCTCCAGCTTCTCTCTCCCGCAGATCCCGGACGCCGTCACGGGCTATTACCTCAACAGGGCGGGATTCGAGGCCTCCGACCCACGCATGTAAGTGGCAGCAGGCGTGGCCGAGCGCGGCCTCGGGGACCCCGTACGGGGTCCGATCGCTGGGCGCCCCGAGAGGAGCTCCCCGGTCCCCGCGGTGCTCTGTGCTCTCTGTCTGAACCGGCCCCGTCTCTCTCTCTGCCGGGTAGCATCCGTTTGATCTCTTTGGCCGCGCAGAAGTTTATTTCTGACATCGCCAACGATGCGCTGCAGCACTGCAAGATGAAGGGAACGGCCTCGGGCAGCTCCCGCAATAAGAGCAAGGTGAGAGAAGGACGGAATGGCTGCTGGGACGCGGGGACGCGTCCTCCCGGGGGCCGTAGCAAGCCAAGCTCGCTGCCATTGCCTGCGGGGACGTGGGCCGTAGAAAGTCTTGAACCTGTTGTGCTCCTGAAGGGTCAGCACGCTTACTGATGAGCTGGGGCTCTGCGGGTGGGAACGGGACGCTGGTGGGAAAACGAGGTGGATTCGTGGAACGTGCTTTGATGCCTTTGCGGGAATGCGAGAGTAGCTGCACCCCCTCGGACCGAGGGCCGTCTGGCTCTGCGTCCTCCCTCTGACAGGGACCAAAACTCGGATGCTTGGGGAGAAACATAAACAGGGAGCAAGCCTGTAGCCGTAGTTTCTGGGAATTCTCCCAGTCATCATCTGTTTGTGGTCTGAGGGCCTCATGAGGGCGGCGTAATTTATCTTTATAGCGTTGCGTAATGCTCGGTGTCTTTCTGTCCGTTGAGCAGCTGAGGGCACAGAGCAAACAAAACGTGCAGCGCTTAAGAGCTGGTTAACGCCACAAACGCTGTCTGCAGCTGCTTCTGGGAATTGCGCCCATGCAGGCCACCACGGCTTGTAGGGGAAAAATCCTAAACCCGCAGGGTTTTGAGGAATGCCTGGCAGCTTAGGCTGTCCTTGCTGTGACTGACGCTACTCCTTGTCCCTTCAGGATAAGAAGTACACGCTGACCATGGAAGACCTGACACCAGCACTTGCAGAATATGGCATCAATGTGAAAAAGCCACATTACTTCACATAAAGACTGAGGGATTGTCACTGGGAACTTTTTTAGGGTTGCTTCTGTGCCATTAAACAGCTGGGTAGTTTTTTTTGCGGAAAGGCATCTTGTCTCCTGCCCGCACGCTAATGCCCTGCCTACACGTAAATCGGCACCCCAGCTGCCCTGCTGGGGCCTCTGTCCTCGCTGCACCAGCAGAAGTTGGTCCCGTGCCTTTGAAAGGCCAGCGCAGAGGGGTGGTTGTAGGGCTCGCAGCTGGTGGATTACGGTTGCGCCCTCTGCCATTCCCCAGAGGGCTCAGCCCTGCCCCGGGAAGCTGAAGGAAAGTGGGCATAGCGGGAATGGGACTGCCCAACCCTCTTCTTCATCTCCTCCTCCCAAGCATACCCGTCGTGTCTCAGAGGACCGCGGGGCCTGTGCAGGCGGCCCGGGCCCCTCTCTCCGAAGAGCGGGGTGCCGTTAGCCCGCCTGCCTTCCTTGCTCCAGTTGCTGGAGGAAGGTCGGTACGGGCGCAGATCCAGAGCCCGGGACTCTGCCAGCTGTTGGGCAGCCCCCCCAGGGGTCTTTCCCGCTTTCTGCGGGCAATGCTCTGGGCACGTACACACCCCTCCACCAGCAGCCAGTTTTCGTAACAAAGATTTATTTCGGATGCTGGCGGCTTTTCCACATGGCCTGGATGGAAACCATAAAGAGTGAAGCGCAAAGCTGGGGTGGTGCTGGGCGCAACGGGCAAGCTTCACCCCGCTGTCCTTAGTAGGAAAGAGCACCAGGACTGGGCGTTGCCTAACATGAGACTGTTAAGTGGGTGAGCTGCTCGGGGCCTGGGGACGAGGAGGACAGGGTGGCTCCACAGCCCCGTCCCAGCCTCACGGGTAGCAGAGCCCAGCCATGCTCAGTGTTGTGGGCCAGGCCTCCTGCTCAGTCTCTGCCCGTAGCTGCCAGGGAGGATGGAGGTGCTGCCATAGATGTGCTACAGTGCCTGAAGCCTGCAGAGCAGCTCCAGAGAAGGCAGCATCGTCTGTACCGTGTGTCCGTGGCTGGCTCAGGGTGAGGGGGCATTCCCTGCTCCCCCTTGGCTCTGGGGTTAAAGAAGGCACTTGGGGGTAGCGGGGAGGGAAGCATGGCAGCGTCAGCTGGCTGGGAGGCACCCCCTCTCTCTACTTCTCCTGCATCTTCTCCAGGATGGGCACGATCATGTCAAACTTTGGGCGCTTGGCCGGGTCCTCGTTCATGCAGATCTTCATCAGCTTGCAGATGTGCGGGGATATGCCGGGTGGGATGGTTGGACGTAGCCCCTCCAGTGCCACCTGGGAGCACAGGAGAGCAGGGCAGGATCAGAAACCTGGCCCCAGCCCTGCCTTTGGCAGGCACAGCCTGTACCGCCGGGAGGAGCGGCTGGGGGCTCTGTGTCGCGGGCCTTCCCTCCCCTCCCTGCTGGCTGCGTAGGCCCCGTTATGCCCTGGCTGATCTGGTCTGGAGCGGTGGACTTTCCCCGGCCCTCTCCTCACCTTCATGCCTATCTCCATGTTGGACAGGTCTGCAAATGGCACCTCACGGGTCACCAGCTCCCACAGCAGCACCGCAAAGCTCCACATGTCAGCCGAGCGCCTGTTAATTTCCTCCGGCTTCTTCTGCAAGGCTGTAGGGAATACAGCACGGGAGGCTGAATGGGGCTGAGGGTGAGGAAGGGGCCGAGCTGCAGGAGGGGCCCGGCTACCGGGCGCTCACCTTCTGGTGCCACCCAGGCTGGCGCGTACATCCGCCCTGGGCACTGGAAGGAGAACTTCACGTCAGCCATGCTGATCCGTGCTGTCATGTCCTCGTCGATCTGGGGAGACAGGGGTGGTCAGAGGAGAGCCTGCCCTGCCCCCCTCCGCGGGAGGAAGGGCCGGGCCACGCGACGTCGACGCTCACCATGATGCTGCGGCTGTTGAGGTGGTGGCGTGGAATGAGGGGCTCCAACGTGTGGAGGAAGGCCATGCCCCGTGCAATGTCAAAGGCGAATTTCACTGCCTGCATCTGGTCCACCACGAAGTCTGCAGGGAGGGAGGTGGCATGAGGGTAAGGGGGGGTGCCCTGTCACCGGCGGCGTGCGTGGGACAGGGGAGGCGTTGGAAGACGCACCGCGCGGGGGGGCGTGGGGGAGGCGTGCGGACGGGAGACTGAGCTCACCCCGGGCCCCCTGCCACCCCCCGAACGCACGGAGAAGCAACTTCTCGAGGACGGGGAGACTGGCCTCTGCCCCCAGCTCTGTCACCCCCGCCAGCACTCACTTGTGCCCTCATGTAACACGTTGTAGAGGGAGCCATAGGGCATCCAGTGGCTGATGACAATGGGGTGGGGCGCCGGGGGGGACTGGCAGGCGCCCAGCACTGGTAGCACGTTGGGGTGAGAAAAGATCCTGCAAGAGAAGCGATAGGCCTGAGAACAGCGGGTGCTGCCCGCGCCCCCTCGTTGCCTCCCTGCCCTCTGCACCGCTGCCGGCGTGCCGTCCTCCCAGGGCCTCCCCGCGGCCTCTGGCCCCGCTCTGCAGCACTCCCACCCGACCCTGCAGACCTGGCTGGCTCCTGCCTAACTCATCCTCCTCTGGGGAGAACGCCTGCCCTCCTGAGCCGCGGCTGCCTTGGGGAAGGATGTCGGCACTCACCGCAGCTTTGGGTATTCCTCGTTGAAGTCTCGGCTCCTCCGCGTTGTCCAGTCCCGGATTTTCAGCATTTTGATGACAATGTCATTGCCTTGCCAGCGCCCTTTCCACAGCTGCGGGGAGACAGGTGGAGACAGTCCCCGTGAGAGGACACGCGGTCCCCGAGCACCTCCCAGCCCCTTGCGCGGGGCTGCGGGGCCCATGGAGCCCACGGGGCCGACAGGTCCGCAGCGACGTGGAGCAACTGCGGCAAAGCGTGAGAGTGACCCTGGCCTTTCAGTCCTGGGCAGGTGCCTTCTCTCCGCGTGGGCTGGCCCCACGCCTGGATGCGGAAACCCACCAAGCAGTTGTGCCCCAGCGCTGCACGCCGCAGCCAGCCAGGGACTGGGGAGAGAGCAGTGGTCTGCGTGGGTGCAGCTACCCTGTCCCGGGGGACAACGGGCCCACATACCTCTCCTGACTGGTTCTCATTGAGTTTTTGGCTCAAGCTCAGCTGTTTGAAGTCTATTCCAGCAAGTTTGTTGAGAGTCCCATTTCCTGGAAGCAAAGGAGGAGATGCTGCCTGTGGCCACGTGGACCTTCCTCCCGAGGCCCACCTGGGACTGCAGAGGGAGGCCGTACCAGTGGGACGCCTCAGTCCCATGAGGAGCCACCTTCAGTGAGGGGCTGTCCAGCTCCAAAACAAGCCGTTTGCGGCGCAGGCTGCTGCCCCCTCCCCAGAAGCCTGCCCTCCCGTGCAGGAGAGCTGTGCTCTCCCCTGCGACGGTGTCCCCGTTAGGGAAGGCTCTGTCCTTACTGGGACGTGTGCGGGTCGTGCCCTTCCAGAAGGTATCCTTGTAGGGGATCTTGGTGAGGCTCTGGCCCAGCTTCTCAGCACGCTCTGGAGGGACAAGAAGTTTGGCAGCACAAGCAGAGCTCACCGATGCTGAGCGCAGGGGGCGCAGCAGGAGCCAGAGGCAGGTTGTGAGGCCAGGACGAGAACCTCCTACCTTTCAAGACCTCTCGCAACGGCGTCTTGGCTTTGTCAATGGGCGTCTCACCGTATTTGTTAGCAATGCTGACCAAGGCCCCGTTGACCACCAGGTCCTGAGGGAGGAGAAAGCGTCTACCGCTTGGTGTCCTCTTATCAGCCTCTTCATACACACCCAGCCTCCTGCCTCAACCCTCCTCTCCCTCCCCGTGCTCCCCTCAGCCACCTCCCTCGCCCTGGGCTCCTGACTATGTCCAAGTGCTTCCACTCACCTCCGCCACCTGGTCGTGTCCCCAGAAGCAGGCATAGTGCAGAGGCGTGTTCCCATGCTCGTTCACGGCGTTGATGTCTGCTTTGAACTGGATCAGCTGGGGGCAGGAGGACAATCCCTGTAAATCTAGAGCAGGTCCCTTCCCCCCAGCACTTTGCCCTGGGAGAGGGCAGGAGGACCAACAGCAGCACGTTTGCTGCCTCGGTGCTGGCAAGGCCTGCTGTCGGGAGGGGGCTGAGGCTGGACACAGGGCTTTTGCGGGGACGGCGCAGGCGCTCAGAGGTGCCAAGGCGGGGATGCAGTAAGCTCATGGCAAGGAAGCCGGCAGGCGACTGGGGAGCGAGTCCTGGGCGGACAGGGCGGAGGGCTGCCGAGTCCCGCTCGGTCTGCCGAGTCCCGCTCGGTCTGCCGCGGGGCAGCGCAAGGCACGAGGCGGGCGCCTGGAAGGCGGCGGGGAAGGGGCAGGGTGCCGGCCGCAGGAGGCGGGTACCTTCTGCACAATGTCGCGGTGGCCGTGGCTGGCAGCCAGGTGCAGCGGGGTGTCGTCGCCGCGGTTCATGACGTTGATGCGCGCTCCCCGCATGATGAGCATGTCGACCACGTTGGAGCGGCCTTCGCGGCAGGCCCAGTGCAAGGGGCTGAAGCCGTGGTCATCCCTGCGGAGACGGCAGGGACATCTCTGCTGAGTGGCTGCAGCCGGCCTGCTGCATCCTCTCCTGGCCCGGGCAGGGAGAGAAGGGCCGAGCGTGGCCAGGGCGCTGCCGACAGCACCGCAGCCGGGCAGGTATCGCCACGCGCACCCGCACGCGGGCCACGGAGGCAAAGGGGACAGGCCGAGCGGCTCTCCTGCGCTCCCCCATCCCCACGAGGGCCCCAGAGGCCCTGGCCAAGTCCCATCTTCTCCAGGGCTGAATCACCAAGATGCTGGCAAGAGCCAGATCCCCTCCCCCGTCCCCCCTCAGCTCCCGCAGTGCCTGGCCAAGTAAGGGCGGAGGAGACCGGCCAGGCCTTAAAAGGAGATTAGGGTCTGGCAGGCGGGGGCCAGGCGGCCCCGCAGGCAGGGGATACCTCGGCGCAGACACCCGGGACCAAAATGCCCCAGCGAGTGCCAGCCGGCCCCCAGTCCCTCAGGCACGACCCGTGGGCCCGGGAGAGCTCTGTGCGACTGGGACCCCTGGGAGGGACTGAAAGACATGGCCAAAGGCAGGCCGCCGGCCCAGAACGAGTTCAGCAAAGACGCTGCCATGACCTGACAAGGGATCTTTGGTGTGCGGGCAGAAGGCGGCGCCTGCCCACAGGCAACGGAGACGTAAACCTTGCGCCTGGCCTAAACGCTGCTCCTGCAAGACAGGCGGGCAGCACGTCGGACCGTGCGATCCCGTGGGAGCTCCTGGAGCAGGGGACGTGCTGTGCGGAGAGATGTGGGGCAGGACACACGGGGCAGGGCGCAGGTCAGCCCCGCGCAGCTCCTGGCCCCAGGGTGGCTCCCAGCCCTCCTGTTAGACCCCGGCTTGGCTTCTGCACGCCAGCGGCAGTGCTTCCAGGAGAGGGGACAGGGGAAGCAGTCACCCAGACACGCCAGCACCGTGGGGACGGGGAGATCCTCCCCAGCACCCCCAGCCCAACCCCTGGCCGAGACGCGTCCCGTCCCGTGGCTGGGAGCAGCGGATGGCCGAGGAAGCAGCTGGAGGATGTGCGGCCCTCATGCCTCAGCGATGCGGTAACTTCCTCCCGGCGGGGAGGAGCTGAATCCCACCCCTCCCCAGGACACGGAGCAGAGCGGAAACAAGCCCCAGCCTTGGTCCAGCGCCCTTGGCCCGTGGCGCAGCCGAGCCGGGGACAGGACCCCGGCGGGTCCAGCCTGGGCCGGGTCCCTTCTGCTCACCCCTGGTTGAGGTCGTTCTCGGTGTTGTCCAGCCAGAGGCGCACGGCCACCGCGTTGCCCTCTCGGCACTGCGTGAAGATGTCGTCCATCGTGGCTCTTGCTGCGGGGAGGGGTGCGTAAGGACGCGGGGCCCCGCTGCGGAGCAGGGCTCCCTGCCGCCCTTTCCCACAGGCAGCCCTGGGACCTGGACATCGCCTCCCACAGCCCCTCTGCTCCTGGCAGCCACTCAGCTGGGGGAGCGAGGACGGGAGCCTCGCGTGCCCCTCCTCATCAGTCCTGCGGAAAACTGCAGGGACTACGGAAGGCTGGGGATGGAGCCGGACTTGCAGCTGAAGGGGAAGTTCATGACTGACTCGAGCGTCACGGGTGCCTGCAGCAGCTCGCAGGAAGCAGAGCTGGCGTCCACGGGCTTATCTGCAGGCCCAGCCAGACGCGGGTGCCCGCATCTCCGGGGAGGGCATTGGGAAGCAGAGCTGGAAGAGGTCCAGCACCACCCTGCAGGGATCCCATAGCTCCACAGGCCCTCCCGATCCCCAACTCCAACCCAGGCTCGGCTGAACTTGGCACAGCATCACACTCAAGAAACTGGGTCCCCAAAGGTCCACAAGCTCCCCCTCTCTCCACTCTAATCAACAGACACCCCATCCCAGAGTCAGGCAAAGAGCAGGCGCTCTGGTTCCATTTTTAACCCCTTGACAACAGCAGCCTCACTGAGGCCCGGGGCTGCCCGGCCCCCAGCTGCCCAGCAGTGCAGGGACACGCCTGGCAGGTACTTTCCCGCCTGAGGGTCTGCAGCATCAAGCAGGGATGTGGGGCTGCCCTCAGCGAGTCCCACAGTGCGGGCGCAGGGACAGACCAAGCGCGATGCCCCGGACATACACCCGCCAGGGTTTAAACCTGGTGCCCCTCGGGGTCCCTGCAGGGCCTGGCACTCGCCCAGCTGCAGCAGGACCCCCACCCGCTCCGCGCAGGCAGGACGGGCCCCGGCACTCCCTGCGGCTGGCAGCTGCCCCCCAGGACAGCCGCTCCGCCGGTGTCGCGTGCTCCAGGCAGCCACGGGGGGTGAGGGACGCAGGAGACCGGCCTCGCGGCCCAGACCCTCAAAGGGGCCTCACGGGCACCAGAATGGGCTCTGAAACTTCCAGGGCAGCACCGGCCCCGCTCCCAGCTCACCAGCTGCGGAGGACAGGGCAGCCCTGCCTGCGAGCTGCAACGAGCCAGCACGGTGCCCCAGCCCGATGTCCTGCAGGTCCTGCCAGCCCCAGAGCCCCAGGGCGGATAGCGCTGCCCCCAGACCAGATTTTTCACCCGCCCATCTGGGACGGGACCAGGGAAGGGGCACCCCAGCGACACCCCAGCCCCGTCTCAGCCCTGTGGGACTTGCATCGCGCTGTCACCGCTGCCTCTCCTCCACCAGCCGTTACCCCTGCTCAGCCCAGGGCTGCCGTGCTCCTGTCTGTCACCACAGCAGCCCCTGCCTCGGTCCCGGCCGGGCTGCCAGGCCTCCCCCGCCCCTGCCCTGCCCGAAACCAGGGGTCCTCTACCCCCCCATTGCCAAACGGCCACGTCGGCCCTGCTGAGCCCTCACCACTCAGGCCATGGTGCCATGATGTGGAGACGCAGGCCACCCTGTGCCGCTCCCCTTGTTCCTCATCAGCCCTGACCCAAGACCAGCTGTGGGGGCCCCATTCTTCCCCGCAGCACCCTCCCCGGCACCTTCCAGCGCAGCCCCAGCCCCATCCTGCCCTGCGGACCCCGGGGCTTGACCCAGCCATGGCCCCCAGCCTGCCCCATCCCGTCCCCAGGCCACCCTGTGCCGCTCCCCTTGTTCCTCATCAGCCCTGACCCAAGACCAGCTGTGGGGGCCCCATTCTTCCCCGCAGCACCCTCCCCGGCACCTTCCAGCCCAGCCCCAGCCCCATCCTGCCCTGCGGACCCCGGGGCTTGACCCAGCCATGGCCCCCAGCCTGCCCCATCCCGTCCCGTCCCAGCGGCGCTGAGCCCACCCCAGCCACCCGCACAGGACCCCCGGGGCAGCCCTGCGGCTCCCTGCCCGCCCTCGGGCCGCCCGTGCCCCTCGCCCCTGCCCGCCCACCCCAGCGCAGCCCAAGCACA